GCATTAAGAACACGCACACCATCTCATATACACATCAAGGCCCTACTCGCTACGATGAGCCGTGTTACAGCTGGACAGCAGCAGCGATTAGAGTACCTCCTCCGTAAACCGGAGAATCGCGAGTGCTTTGAGTGCTCAGCGAAGCAGCCGCGCTGGGCCAGCACCAACCTCGGTGTCTTTGTATGCCTCCGCTGCGCCGGTCTGCATCGTGCCATGGGGACGCACGTATCAAAGGTGCGCTCGACAACCATGGACACGTGGGAGGAGGACATGATACGCTGTTGTGAGTGCATTGGAAATGAGCATGGGCGTTCACTGTATGAGCACAGGATGTCACCCAATCTGCGGCCGAGTCCCACCACCGATAATGCCACAGTGGAGCGGTTCGTACGCGACAAGTACGAACGCCGGATGTACTATCACCCACAGCAGGAGGAGCTGATGAAGCAGTTTATGGCTGAGGTGGCGGAGAGCGCGTGGTCAGGTTTCGTAGAGCCCACGTCAACACTTCAGCCACCGCCACCAGCAACGACGGAGTCATCCTCGTCGTCCATGGCGGTGCCGATGTTGTGGGGTGGCGACTCAACAACGGCGGGCAATGCGCCTGCGGTCAGTGTCAAGGCCCGTGGTGGCATTGACATAGATGACCTGTTCTCTACAACGACGCCAGGCCCGCCACCACAACCATCAACAACAATAGCCACACAGCAGCATCAGCTCTACCCTCATTGTCATCCCCACCATCAGCATTACGCGCTGTGGGTGCACACAGCGGGGGCTGGTGCGATGGGAAGCAACCATCAATGTGCCTCGTCCGTAGCGTCACATCCGGGACACCAGGTGACAGCGGTGGATGCCAAAACAGAGGTCATGTCTCTGTTTGCCGCACCGCCGACTCAACAATCTCCCCATGTATACAGTGCTTGGCAACCCATACAGCCCTCGAATGGCTCTTACATATCGCCGTAGGCACAACGCAGAGATATATGGGGTCCTGGAGGTGAATTAAGAGGAAGAGAATGAAAAAGAATAAAGGGGAAAACAAGTCTTCCCTTTCAAGGGGGAGTGACAGTCTTGCTTCAGCACTGCCTTACCTTGATGACGTGTGCTTTCGGTGCATCTCGCTACCTAGGATATCCGAAGTGGCGGGGACACTTTTTTGTTGATCTGCGTGCTTCTCTTGTGTGTGAGAGTGTGTGGTGTCTCGTTTTGTTGCGCTGTGGCCTGCGCCCTCAGCACCTGTGAGATCTCGTAGCTGTGCTCTAATATGACATTGTGGATGACCAAAAGTGCAGCAAATCGAACACATCATCATCATCTTCATCATCTGTGCATCTTAAACACATCCAGAGCAACAATATATACATATATGGGGAACCAACTGGCAGCAGCGACTGCTGTGAACGTTGCAGACGTCTCGTCGCTGCTCGAACTGGTGGCGCCCCTCGGTGGCGAGCACCGGAACTACTTCCGTACTTTCCACTGCAGAAAGGCGGTGGACACCGTCAATGTGGGAGAGTCACTTCGTTCGCGCAGTTTCTTCTCTACCAACGAGAGCCGCACCAAGTCATCATCGGCACCTCAACGTTCGCAGCGTGCAGGAAGCATGGACGTCGTGGTCAGGGTGTTCGTGCGCACCCTTGGCAACAGCGCGCAGCAACAGCTGGTGGACTTCTGCTACGATCACCTGCTAAAGATTAATGCGCGTATGACTCGCATTGTTGTTTCCCCAGTAGTCGAAACGAATAACAGTGCCACTAGTGCTACTACAAATAATCTCAGTGCGAGTGCTGGGGCTGTCCCGCCACCGTGCAATGTGCTCTTCTACTCGAGTATGGAGGTGCAGAATGACCGCTTTTGTAAGCTTGAGCGACCCTACATAGCCTACTCTCTGGCGGAGCGACTCGCTACGCGTCCGTATTGGAATATGGGGGAGCGTCTTTTCGCTGGGTATCAAATCCTGCAGAGTCTGGTGCAACTGCACGACACATGGGGGACTGTTCACGGTGACCTAAAGATAGACAATGTGTTGGTGGACACATCAGGGTGGCTTTATGTGACAGATCTCTCTCCTTTTAAGCCTGCGCTGCTGCCAGCAAATGACCCTGCGGTGTTCGCCTATTACTATGACACAAATGAGACACGTATTTGCTTTCTGGCGCCGGAGAAGTTTGTGGATCAGTCACCTCCGTTCAGCACCTCAAATGTCAATGCGAGTGCCCACACACAGGCGATGGATATTTTTTCAGCAGGGTGTGTGTTGGCGCACATGTTCACAGAGGAGCCGCTCTTTTCTCTCTCCCACGTCCTCGTGCTGCGGTCCCAAGAGAGCCAGCGAGAACGCGAGGCGATGGTTGATGCGATGCTGACGGAGCATGCTGTCCCCCCAGGCATGCGTCGCCTGTTGCTTGACATGCTATGTACCAGCCCGGCAGACCGCCCCAATGCGCGGCAGCTGCTGGAGAGGTTCACACCATCAGTGTTTCCACCGTACTTCGGCTTCCTCTATCGCGACGTCCTCCCACCACTACTGGCGCGGCCACCTGATCTACAGGTGCAGCTTCTTTGGTCCCGTCTGGAGGACATCCTAGACGAGGCAGAGAGACGTTGTCAGCCTGCTGATTTCGCCACCTCACCACAACAACTAGCCGCATGTGGTGAGGCCAAACAGTTGAGTGTGTTGTTGTTGCTTCCCGTTATCGTTAACACTAGTAGGCACCTTGTCACAGCGGAGGCCTTCTGTCGATTCATCTCCATCCTCCAAAAAGTCTTACCCTACTGCCCGGTGGTAGTGCAGAGTGACACAATTCTTCCCTACATACTGCACTACGTGAAGATGGACAAACACCCGGTTGTAGCGCGTGTCCTTGCGTTGCGCACCTTGTCGATGATATGCCACTCCGTCAGCTTCTCCGCCAGTGAGGCCACCATGTTTGACGACCTTGTCCTGCCGTGCGTGGAGGAAATCGTGCAGAACGCAGACACCACAGATGTCGCCCTCCTGGCGGAGGTGGCCGACCAACTTCCAGGACTTCTGTTGCTGGCCCGCGCATTCCTGGAGCATCGCCAAGCACTTGCTTCCGCCAACGCGTGGAAGTTTACATTTGGGGAGCAGCTCAACGACCTTCTGGAGCGAGGATGGGACGCGTTGCGTTCACTGTACAGACACGAGCACACAGCTGTTGTTGTTTCAGCTCTTAAGCGAACACCCGATGTGGTGAAATTCCTCGGAGATGAGCGGGCGCAGGACGATCTCATTCCATTTCTTACAACAGCCATCGCCTCTGCCATTGACGTACAGCGGGAGCTGTACCCCCAAGCTATCATGTGTCACGTGAACCTTCAGGCCCCGAGGCTCAAGACGCTACGCTTTTTCGTGGATGAAGGCTTGCGACACACAGATGTGATGTGTCTAACACGAACGATTGACAGCATCACGGCCGTTGTTGAGAAAAAGTGTCTTGCTGTTTGGGACACCATGCCGCTCGTACACCAGGCACTGCCACACATCATTAATCCCAACAATTGGGTCAGCGCTGCGACATGCCGACTGGTGGAGACTGCAGCGCGCACCCACCGTGTGAGTGATCTGTGGATGTACCTCGAGTGTGCGCTCCGACCGCTGCTGTGCCATCAAGTGCCGCTGTCTCGCCTCGCCTCGTTCCCAACGGCGGTGAAGCTGGAGCTGTCACACCACCCCACTGCCACGGAGCTGCTGACGGCATCCATGCACCCTCCAGGCCTCAGTCTCCTTGGAGGTGACGCGGGTGTACGTGACCACGTGCAGCGCAGCAGTGTGAGCGGTGAGCCACAGTACACGGTGCCTTATAGCATTATGAAACGTACTCTGGAAGGTCTTGCCTCGCGTGCAGCTTTAGTGGATGTCTCGTACGACGCACTGATGCTGGAGCCTGTGGCGCCCGCGGTGGACAGGATGGGGGGGTCGAGTGACGGTCATGATTGTAGCGCCTCTTGGCAGCTCTTCTTCAAACCAACACCGCGCGAATGCAAACGGTTGCTTTTGCGGCAGAGCAGGCTAATCGCGGAAGGCGACCCAACCGATCGGGATGTGACTGCTACTTCGGATAAGTGTATCTGCACCGATAATTTATACACCACAGAGCGCCGCCACAGGCGTGGCGACATAAGGCCGCCTTCCCAAACCCCAGCAATGACGAGCGTCTTGTGGAATGAAAAGGAACTGAAGCCAATTGCCGCGCCATGGTTTACACAAGCCGCACACCTTGGTGGGATTTACTGCTCCACTGCGGCAAGAGGTGGAACGTTGGTGACGGCCGGTGGGCGCGGTGAGGCGACGCTGTGGTCGCTGGGTGCCGAGGGACTGGACTATTCGCACCGCATCCAGACCGGTGCCTCGCTGATGAGTACATTTCTGTTTACCAATTTTTTGCGAGATGGGTTAAGCTCGCTTCTCTGCATGGGTGGCACCGATGGGGAGTGGCGTGTGTACGATGTTGCCTGCAATACCATTGTGGGGCAGCGCGCGGTTGACGGCAGCGCGTTGACGGCTGCATGCTCGCTGAGCGACTCCATCACGCTCGTGTCAAGTGCGCTGGGTGGCGTCTCTGCCATTGACCACAGGGCGGGGAAGGACATGTGGCACGCCACAGTTCCGCCAACACTCGGCTCCCCAAGTGGTGTGTCACCGCTCTTCCACAAGTCACGAGCGTACGGCGCGTCGGTCGTTACGCTCGCTGGATGTGTGGCGTTGTTCGACTTGCGCTTTCAAATGATGGTACAAGAGTACCACCTCCACGAAGGAAATCAACAAACGGTGCGTGTCACAGATAATCCCAGCGCCATTCTGTGCGTCAGTCCGGACCTTGCAAGCCCTTCACTCAGCTTCAGCAGCCAGCCCGGGCTTCTGCTTGGGACGCAGGCGGGAGCCGTGCACAGGCTGGATCTCTCAAGCGGTGAGTCACACATTGCACTGCATCCAGCAACAGACGGCCAAGCAACGAGGGCGCTGCTGGTGCAGCCGAAGCACTCTGTAGTGCTGACGGCGGGGAATGACATGTGGATCAGGAAGTGGAGCATGGCGGCGCCTGCGCAGTCCAGGACGCTGGCGTGCCCGCCATACACGTCGCCACAGTACGTGGGGACCACATGTGGCTCCATCAGGGAGGTGGCGCTGCAGAATCAACGGATGGAGGAGCGGCCTTCGACTGGAAATGAGCCGCACACTCTGGAGTCACCTTCCTTGCGCAGCGGTGTTGTGCCGCGGCACCACGAAGACGCCATTCTCACTCTGTGTAGCGTTTCCAATGGCAGCGAGACCTTTTTAGCGTCTGGGTCGCGTGACGGGACCCTGACGGTGTGGTTCAATGCAGAGTAGGGGTCCAAAAGTTGATGTTTGGTCCATTCGGATGATCTTGTTGCTGACACTCGCGGCGCAAAGGGGTGAGAAAAAGAGAGGGAATTAGGGGGATGAAGAGAAATGAACATTGAGTTGTGAGCTCTCTTCTTGTGTATTTTTTTTTTCTTTGCTTGTATTGTAATTCCCTCTTGCCAATGGGGAGGACACCAAGTATGACGGCGACAAGGCCTGGAATATGCAGCAGTGATGGCGCTCTTGTACACGCGGCGGAGAAGCGCATTCCCGACGAGATCAGGGCCCACTTCACAGGCATGAGGGTGTTCCGTGAGTTGAGGGACGGCACCAGCAACAGCAATGATTATGCATGCATGTTAGCACTCAACAGGAAGCGGCGCCGAGATTTTGCGTGTGAAGGGAATGTCCACGTGGAGCGCTGCGTGACTCGTGTGCTGTCTTGCATGTCTGGTCAAGTGCTGAGGGGCTATTATGTGCTGTGGGCGGAGTCCACGATCTCTATAACGACATCCAACCTTTCCACACTGCACACACCGAGGCGGAGTCGAATGAACGGCACCGCTGCTGCTGTTACGGCAGTGGCGGCGGCCGACGCCGCAGAGGAGGAAGCTGAGACTAAGGAAGAAGAGGAGCACTGCGACGCGCGCCACCACGTCATCAGTTTCCTCAGTCTTCACATTGTGGACGGGACGGCGCACCAGCACCCAAGCCGGCATTCCTTTGCACTCCAGTCCGTCTGTCAACCGGGCCGCGTGTTGCAGCTGGAATGTTACCCGTACCACATGATTCACTTTGGGCTTCTGATGCACGCGTTGTGGCGAGGCCCCAATGAAGTGTTCGAGGCGGTGCGAGAGCAAAAACAACAAGTCACGGTCGCATGCCCTTCCCAAGTCGGCCCCGCTGACACGTGTGCGTTGCTGCGGTTTCCGCTGATTGCGTCAGCAACAGGCACCGCGGTGCTGATATTGGGCCTTGGGGGAAATGTGATTGGCAACTTCCTGGATGCTGTCCTTGCTGATGATGTGTCCATTGACGTTGTCGAGTTGGAGCCGGTGGTGTTGGAGACCTGCCGGCAGCACGGCCAAGTGCCACCGTGCGAGGTGGAGGTCGACAAGGCTGGCTCAGGGGCAGCAGCAGCAGCTGGAACAGCGGCAACACGTGTGTGGGGCGTCACGCATGGACATCCTCGGCACCCAAACTACCGCTTCGTTGTGGGGGGCGCGCGGGAAGTCCTGCGGGAGGAATGTAGCAAGAGCAGCAGAGGTGGTGCTCTGCGTGGCCGTCTCTACACCTTTGTGTTCCTTGACTGCTACGATCCAGCGAGGGAACACATGATGCACGACGGCGGCCTCATTGAGTTGTGTCGCTCACGTCTTCAACCCGGTGGTGCGTTGATTGTCAACGCGCACATTCTGCCAACCACAGAAAACCTTGAGGGCCAATTCCTCTCGCACGGCTTTGCCACGGTGCAGGTGCTGCATGTGGCGGGGTGTGACCAGAGTATTGTGGTCTGTCTCGCTGGCGATGATGCATCGTCGCAGGGCGCGGGCGCAGACAAAAAGTTGCAGCAGAATAAAGAGGAGGAAGCATCAGTAGCAAGGTTGAATCGTTTCTGTGTGCGGCATGCCCGCCACATGGCTCAGCACATACGAGACGCTGTAAGAGCGTTGCCCAACGCGATGCAACCACTCCGCGGTGGCTTTCACCTCGATGCGGCGTGGCTCAAATCGTCACGCAGCCTGAAGAGCGCGTCGTGCCCGACACGGTTGTGGGAACACTACGATTGAGAAGCAGTGAATAAGGCAGCGTGTGTGCCTATGCGTGTTTCTCTCTCTGTTTGTCTGGTTTCTCTCTCTGTATATATGTGCGTGTGTGTGTTTGGAATCCTCGTTACTGTTGCTGTTGCTTCATGGTGCTTCTTCCCCCTTTGTTGCACGGCGATTAGAGATACACGCAGGAGCAGAGAGAAAAGGGCGATGGACGTCTACCGGCAGGCCAGCGAGATTGTGCGTGCTGTGCGTGAGGGCAGCGGCACTGCGAAGGCGCTCTGCCTGCGCAAGGAAATGCAGAAGAAGAAGCAGACGTACGCGGTGGTGTGCGAGACGCTGCGGCACTACGAGTTGCTGCAGGACGTGCTTGACCAGGCGGAGTTCTTTCAATATTATCCGCGCGCCAACAGGGACTACGCCGTCTGCATGGCGTTCGATGCGGTGCTGGGGAAAGGTGTCCACACGAATCGTGACTCAACGGCGCAGGCGATTCAGAAGTCCGCGCCTTACCTGCGCGAGGCGTACTGGCACGTGAAGAAGCACCACATCATCCCGCCGCGTCTGGGCGACACCCTGCCAGAGGGGGGGGAAGAGGCGGACAGCAGTAGCGGTAAAAACAAGAATAATAATAACAGCACGGGCCACCATAACGGCAGCAGCAGCCGCACCACTGGTGATGGGGATAGTAATAATGCTGATGGGACACTGGAGCGACAGATGCCGCGTTACGCACGTGTGAACACGCTGAAGATTGACGTGGACAGTTTAGTCGAGCGTCTCCGTCGTGCCGCTCTGAAGCGTGCGCGTGACGACGCTGACGACGACAACAATGAGACCACCAGCAACCACCGCGGTAAGAGGAATGCCGGCAGGACGAAGGGCAACCGAGGGCTGCCCGATTTCACAGTGGACCCCGTCGTGCCGTCGCTGCTCGTGTTCCCGCCGGGCACCGACCTGCACGCCCACCCGGCGGTGCGCAGCGGCCAACTCGTCCTGCAGGACCGCGCGTCGTGCCTCCCCGCCTGCGTGCTGCTCGACGCGGTGGAGGTACGCAAGTCAACGCCGGCGTCACCGGGCAGTGCTGCCGCTGGGTCGCTGGAGTACATCGTCGACGCCTGTGCGGCGCCCGGCAACAAGACGACACAGCTAGCGGCGCTGGGCGCCCCAACGGTGAAGATTATGGCGG